GTACATGGCTTTTGGTATTCTGTGTGATGAAATAGGAAGTACATACAAAGCACTGCTGCATGTAGCAGTTTGATGGTTATCTCAAGGAAAAGTATTTGTGTGATTGAATTGTAAACAGAACTGAACTGAACACTATTTTTACTTGAAAAAACAAGTGACAAACTGTGGTTATCCAGACTTAGGTATTTAGCAGACATTTTTTTGGAAAGTGAATGATGTGAATGTTTTAAGGAAAACAACTGATAATATTTATTGCCAATGATAAAATTCCAACTTGTAACTGCAAATTAAATTTCGGAGAATTTGTGTCTGTCACTGTGAGTTTGACAGCTTCTCTGGATTAAAAGCTTTTCTGATGAAATCAGTAGTGATATTAAAATTGTGATTATTTTGATATTATCTAAATAAAATGTGTCAACATTTGGATCCTCTGCGTAACTCAGTGAACCAATAGTTTCCAAATAACCAGTGCATCATGTTACAAAACCAACCATGTATAAAAGATTCACTCAAAGTACAAGCTAGAACAATGGATTTTAATGTTACAGAGTATAAAAAGTTTATCCATATGGTTTCAGATTTCATATTGCACTAGCCTTTAGTTAACCTAACCTTGACCACTTGTCAAGTTTGGGTGTAATATCAGAGAAGAATACTATAATTATCTGAAAAGGCTATTTGAAACACCCCTGTTTTCAACTGCCTATCTATGTTTGGATCTTCAATGAAAAGAATACACAACAGATTGAATGGGGAAGTGCATATGACTATAGTTGTCTTCTATTAGGTCAGACATTAAAAAGATTTGTAAAAATGTAAAATAATCCCACTCTTCTCTCAATTTTTTTGAGAAAACATTATTTCTCATAAAGATGTTATTTTACCTTAATTTGTTAGAGGTTCATTATTATTCTAAAATGAATTAGTGACTAAATATAAAATTCTGTTTTAATTTCTAATGTGGTAAATATCAAACAGTTCTTTGGCATTAAAAAATTTTAAGTATGTAGTGGGATCTTAGACCAAAAATTTTAAAAACATGGGTCTATGTTCTTTTTGCCTAGATTTCTTTCCTTTTTTCCCCCTAAAGAAATTGTAGACGTAATTATGAGTTAATATTTAAGTATTCATTTAAAAATATGCTGATCATCTTACCAAGAACCTGGCTTTTGACCTGCTAGGGAGTGGGGGCATGGTCCCAAACCTAATTTGTGGAGATTCCAGTCTGTTGGCAATGACACTTTAAACAGATAATTGTAGCACAAAAGCATAAATGTTGCCAGAATTCAAGTATTATAAGAATCTTACAGAGTCACATGCCCACTCCTTTAGAAAATATGAGTGATCAGTTTGATTGAATTGAACTTCCTATATTTGATTCTTCATTGTTTGTCAGGAAAAGTGGTTAAAGTTAGTAGAAGATGGAAACTATTGACATGCTGCTCTGGGAAAAAAGGATACTGCAGATATATTGAATGTCAGCTCTATGCCAGGCTCTTTGCTAGGTGTTTTAATAGTTATGCAGTTTCACTTATTAACCACAAAAATCCCATGTAGCAGATTATTATCCTCATTTTGCAAATGAGAAATATGAGGCTTGAAGAAGTTAAACAGCTTGTCCAGTATCATATGATGTGTAACTTGTTGAAGGTAAAATTTTGACATGTCTGTTCTGACTCTTAAGTTCAGGAATGTTTCATTGCAGTAATAATGCATTGCTAAATGAGCGGATCTTCTAAGGCATTTCCAGATGGCTGTGGGAAACTTTGCCAGACTGAAATGTATAAGAGAAGGTGGAAAGGGTCTCAAGAAGGAGAAAGAGACAGCTTAGAAAATGCTTGATTGAAGGACTTATTTGTGAGTTTTGACTGACATGGTTTTTCTGGACAGGATTCTAATGTCATATGGGACATCAAGCTTTTGTATCCCCATCCTCATTCCTTTAATCCTTCTTTATGCCAGATGATCCCAGCAGCAAAGGTCACTCGTGTCTGATCACATTACAAATCAGAGCCTGCAGTTTGAAGTACAAACTTCTTGAATGTGCCATAGGCCTTTTGGAAAAGTGCTGGCTGACCTCAGGTGGCAGTGGTGCCCAGTGTGGAAGTCCTTAGTCCCTAGACCTTGGTGAACAATTTCCATTATTTTTAAAAGCCTACTAGGAACTATGCTGTACTTAGGTAGGCCTGTATATGGATACAGACTAATGAAAACATTGGATTTCTTTAAGTTAGAATGTTGCCAATCCAGTGTGATTTAGGTATTTTACCTCAACAAAATATTGCCTAGAGCCAAATCCAGCTCACTGCCTGTTTTTGTAAATAAAATATTATTAGAACGCTCATTCACTTGCATTTTGTCTATGGGTTTTTTTGTTTTTTGTTTTTTTTCTACAATGACAAAGTTAAGTATTGAAGAAGAGACTATATGGCCCCCATATCCCAATTTGCTTATTATGGGTCCTTTATAGAAAGTTTGCTTACCCCTAACTTGATTTTTCCTATCATGGCCCTTAGCATGTAGTGTTTTAATTGCCTGTCTCTTCTAATTTTGTAACTGAGAACAAAGATAAGATCTGATTCATATCTTTATAACCAATTCAAATCATAGAGGCTAAAATATGAAGTGCTTAATAAATATTGTTTAAGGAAACTCACCTTTTTTTTTTTTTTTTTTTTTTTTAATGAGACAGGGTCTTGCTATGTAGTCCAGACTAGCTTTGAACTTGTGATCTTCCTGCCTCTGTCTCCTGAGGGCTGCAATTGCAGGCGTGTACTATCATGCCCAGTGGAATAAGTGTTATTAATTGTTTTAAAAGTTATTTAAATGGACATGTCATATCTCTGACCAAAACCACTGATATTTCAATTACATGTGCTTTTGATTAGTACAAAAATAGTGGTAAGAAAGGAAAGAGTTAATATTGATTATGTTAATCTCAGTGCTGTGTGCTTTATGAATTAGTTACTCATTACCTACTATAATCCTTTTAGGGCGATAAATAGTTCTTCTGGAAATGGGTTCTGGAAATGCCAAGAAGTTTTGCTGGTGAGGAAGTTGAGAAACAATGCCTTAATCTTTAGCTATATTCTACTTTCTATCTCAGGCCCTACCATGTACCTCCATCCCACCCATCTAATTTAGTAGGACAAATCTAGAGAAACTTAAGGATTCATAAAGATAATTCTTTTGTATGTATAATGATCATATTTTTCTTTTCTTTTTTTTTTTTTTTGCCATGCTGGAGATTGAACTGAGGGCCTTGCACATGTTAGGCAACTGCTCTACTACTGAGTTACATCCCCAGCCCTGGAATTAATTAATTAATTAATTAATTAATTAATTAATTTTTTGAGACAGGGTCTTGGTATGTAGCTCAGGCTGGCTTTGAGCCTGCCTCAGCCTCCAGAATGCTGAGATTACAGACATTAACCACCACACCCAGCTTGCTTTTGTGTTCTTCTCAGCATTATTATTATCTGTGGCTTCCAAAAGATGAAACCAGCCCAAAGCTATCTGGTCATCTTAACAAAAAGGCAGTCAGGTGAAATGCTGGTCTGGGAATCAGTGGACTTGGGCTCTCACTGATACTTTGCTGCTGTCTTTACTTTGGGCACGTCATTTGATAATGCTGAGCTTCAATATTAAACATAGTTCCATTAAGTCACCTCTACAACACTTTAAACTGTAATATTTATTTATATGTCTTCCTTAATTTGAAAAGGATTTGGACAAACTGGCAAGAGGTAGAGAAGTGACCTGTCCTGTCCTGCCACTGTCTCTGGCAGGCAGACAAATAAATTATTAAATGGATTAGGGTATTTCAGGTATTTGATCAGTGCCTTCTGAAAGGCTTCACAACCATAGTGTCTTTACCCTACCTTGCTTTCTTTCCTGTGACGACAACTGCTATTGCCTGAGAAGTCAAAGTGTTTCTTTTATCTTTTTCTTTTCTTTCTTTCTTCTTTTTCTTTTTGTTTTTGCTTTGTTTTGAGACGGTATTACTACGTAGCTCCGGTTTTCCTTAAACTCATCATCCTTCTGCTTCAGCCTCCTAAGTGCGTGTGCTACCATGCCCATCTCTTTCATCTTCTTTAGGAGTGATCAAGAGTATTGCCTTTGGAAGTAGTTCTCCAAGATGCAGGCCAAAAAGAGAGAGAAATTTTAGCATGTAGGAGTAGGAAGAAATAGACTAGAAAATTTAGTCTCAAATGCCTTTTTCCAGTAATGAACTTGAGGCCTAGAAAAAAGAAGTGATACTCCTCCCCACCTCCCAGTCATGTGGTAGAACAAGACTTTTCTGCTGTGTGCATTTTTTAGTCTAAGGGTTTTCAGGTTTGTAAAGGGAGGATTAGGCATTGTGGAAAGAGTAAGGTGGTCTAGGCTCTTGTGCTGAATGGCATGTGATAGTAGGCAGAGAAAACTGCATTCCAGACCTCCCCAGCTGTCATGTCAGTTGAGCTCCAGGTATGTAATAGATATTTGATGTATCTGTAACTGTTTATGGGAAAGTACAATATGTGAGATATTTCCCCAGTCAGCCTGTGACTAGCATTATAAGTACTAGCAGTGACAATGTATGCAAAAAATGAAGACTATACATTATTGAGACTGTGGAACTAATTGACTCTTGCTCTGTTTTCAGAAAATATTTCATTTGTATATGTATTTCTTTGATTACTAGGAAGTCTAAGCTTTTTCCTATGTTCATTAGCTATTTGTTTTTCTCTCATTTGTGTTCTTTTCTAGATCCCAGTATATTCTTGTTCCTGTCAGAGAACTATTAGAATGATAAAGCATTGTTCCTGTGCACGAGAGCTTAGCACATTCTCTAGGAAACAGTTAAAAGGCCAGATGATGCACTTCTATCATTATATACATAGTTGATTAAAAGCCTGTGTGAGGAGTCAGAGGCTAGAAACTAAGGATGGTGACACAGGTGGGTGAGGGAGGCTGAGCAGCAGCTCTGAGTAATATTGTCTCTTGCTTTTCCTGTACAGAGTTTTGCCGGATTGACAAACCCCTGTGCCACAGTGAGGATGAGAAGCTCAGCTTTGAGGCAGTCCGCAACATCCACAAGCTGATGGATGATGATGCCAATGGTGATGTGGATGTGGAAGAAAGTGATGAGGTGAGCTTTCTCACCCTGCTGTTGCTCTTCTTTCTTTTTTTTTTTAATTTTTATTTTTCATATGTGCATATAATGTTTGGGTCATTTCTCTCCCCTTCCCCCTGCCCCTTCCCTTACCGCCCCCCCAACCCCCCTTACCCCTCGCTACCCTGCAGAAACTATTTTGCCCTTATCTCTAATTTTGTTGAAGAGAGAGTAATAAGCAATAATAGGAAGGACCAAGGGTTTTTGCTGGTTGAGATAAGGATAGCTATACAGGGAATTGACTCACATTGATTTCCTGTGCATGTGTGTTACCTTCTAAGTTAATTCTTCTCAAACTAACCTTTCCTCTAGTTCCTGGTCCCCTTCTCCTATTGGCCTCAGTTGCTTTAAGTATCTGCTTTAGTTTCTCTGCGTTGAGGGCAACAAATACTATCTAGTTTTTTGGGTGTCTTACCTATCCTCACCCCTCCTTGTGTGCTCTTGCTTTATCATGTGCTCAAAGTCCAATCCCCTTGTTGTGTTTGCCCTTGATCTAATGTCCACATATGAGGGAGAACATACGATTTTTGGTCTTTTGGGCCAGGCTAACCTCACTCAGAATGATGTTCTCCAATTCCATCCATTTACCTGTGAATGATAACATTTCGTTCTTCTTCATGGCTGCATAAAATTCCATTGTGTATAAACACCACATTTTCTTAATCCATTCGAATGTCAATGGTGGGGCATCTTGGCTGTTTCCATAACTTGGCTATTGTGAATAGTGCCGCAATAAACATGGGTGTGCAGGTGCCTCTGGAGTAACCTGTGTCACATTTGAGTATATCCCCAAGAGTGGTATTGCTGGATCATATGGTAGATCAATGTTTAGCTTTTTAAGTAGCCTCCAAATTTTTTTCCAGAGTGGTTGTACTAGTTTACATTCCCACCCACAGTGTAAGAGGGTTCCTTTTCCCCCCGCATCCTCGCCAACACCTGTTGTTAGTGGTGTTGCTAATGATGGCTATTCTAACAGGGGTGAGGTGGAATCTTATTGTGGTTTTAATTTGCATTTCCTTCATTACTAGGGATGGTGAGCATTTTTTCATGTATTTTTTGGCCATTTGAATTTCCTCTTTTGAGAAAGTTCTGTTTAGTTCACTTGCCTATTTCTTTATTGGTTCATTAATTTTGGAAAAATTTAGTTTTTTGAGTTCCCTATATATTCTGGTTATCAGTTCTTTGTCTGATGTGTAGCTGGCAAATATTTTCTCCCACTCTGAGGGTGTTCTCTTCAGTTTAGAGACCATTTCTTTTTTTGAGCAGAAGCTTTTTAGTTTTATGAAGTCCCATTTATCTATGCTATCTCTTAGTTGCTGAGCTGCTGGGGTTCCATTGAGAAAGTTCTTGCCTATACCTATTAATTCCAGAGTATTTCCTACTCTTTCCTGTACCAACTTTAGGGTTTGGGGTCTGATATTAAGATCCTTGATCCATTTTGAGTTAGTATTGGTATAGGGTGATAAACATGGGTCTAGTTTCAGTTTTTTGCAGATTGCTAACCAGTTTTCACAGCAGTTTTTGTTGAAGAGGCTTTCTTTTCTCCATCGTATATTTTTAGCTCCTTTGTCAAAGACAAGTTGGTTATAGTTGTGTGGCTTCATATCCAGGTCCTCTATTCTGTTCCACTGGTCTTCATGTCTGTTTTTGTGCCAGTACCATGCTGTTTTTATTGCTATTGCTTTGTAATATAGTTTGAAGTCGGGTATTGTGATACCTCCAGCGTTGTTCTTTTTACTGAGCATTGCCTTGGCTATTCATGGCCTCTGCAGTTCCCATCAAAATCCCAAAGACATTCATTAAAGAGATTGAAAAATCTACTGATAAAATTTATATGCTCTCTTTCTTTGTGTGTGAAGCAGTCCCTGAAGTCTGCCTAGACTGCTCCCTGTGGAGAGAGGTTCGCTGCTGGCTTGTTGTCTAGGAACTTAGCCCCATCAGGCCAGCAGCTCTCAGCAGAGCTGCCATCTAGGAGCCAGCCTGGCAGAGTGCTCGCTTTATGCTTGTGTCTATGCCTGAGTGGACTCCCACCTGTCCACTGGCTAATAGCTGTGCTATTTGGGAGGGAGAGTGATTCCTGAGCTTGTCTCTACAGTTTACTTGGATCTTTATGTTTTTGGTAGTACTGGGGCTTGAATTCAAGGCCTTATGCTTGCTAGGTTGGTACTCTACCTCTTGAGCCACACTCTCAGCCATTTTTTGCTTTAGTTATTTTTCAGATAAGGTCTCATGGTTTTTGGTTTTTTTTTCTGCCCTGGCTGGTCTTGGATTGTGATCTTCCTCTCAACTGCATCCTGTACAGCTGGAATCACAGGTGCATGCCACCATGCCTGACTTATTTGTTGAGATGGGGTCTTGCTAACTCTTTTCCCAGGCTGGCCTTGAGCCATTGCTCCTCCCATTCTCTACCCTGAATAGCTGAGATCACAGGCGTGCGCCACTGTACCCAGCCTTCCTATACCTTTTCTTCTTTTGTTTTTCTTTTTATTTCTTTTTGGTAGTACTGAGGTTTGAACTCAGAGCCTTATACTTGCTAGGCAGATGCTCTAACACTTAAGCCACTCTGCCAACCTTTTTTTTTGTATTGGATATTTTTGAGATAGGGTCTTGCTTTTTTTGCCCAGGCTGGCCTCGAACCATGATTCACCTGATCTCTGCTTCCTAAGTAGCTAGAATTACAGATATGAGCCACCAGCCCAGCTTTCTCTAAATCTTTAATCCTGCTGTAGATAGTGGACATCTTTCTTTACTCAGCTCTATGTTGGCATATAAGAGAGAAGGCAAAACATTCAGATCCTGCCTTCTGAGAGTTTACACTCTATTTTGAAGGGAGAAACAAATCTTTGAAAGATCATTCTAAATTCTAAGATGCAGTTGCTAGAAGCCAGTTGAATGGTCCAGATAGACAAAGGAACTACAAGGATGTCTAAATGGAAAAAGCTCTGTTATTCTTTCACCTTTTGGCATCAGCTCCAACTCAACAGAGCCCAGAGTACAAGGTCATTGTGTGTAAAAAGATTTAAAGTTTCTTGATTTCAAGCTTAACATGAACCAGCTATTTGGTGAAGCTACCAAGTCATGTCAAATCTTTAATAGCGATATACTATATATTTTGAGGGAGGAGAAAAGTCCATTCTCCCTTGCCCCTTGCTAGCTATTTACCTTTGAGTTTTGAACTCAATTTTGGGTGTCACATTGTCAGAAGAATTTAGAACAGCAAGGGACTATACAGAGGGGCATGATATGAATGATGAAGAGTGTGGAAACTATATAATCACCATCAACATAGTTAAATAATATTAAGTATCTGTTATGTATGCGCCATTCACTGAACTAGGTATGGAGATGGGACAGTAATTAAGATGGATACATTCTGTCCTCATATAACTTATACTCTAGTGAAGAAACTTTAGTTTGGAGAAGGGGAGACTCTGTGTTAGTCAGTTTTTTATCACTGTGACAAAATATCTGAGAAAACTAACAAAGGAGGAAGGATTTGTTGAGGCCCACAGTTTCAAAGATTTTAGTCCATGGTCAATTGGTTTCATTGTTTCTAGACCCATGATGAGGCAGAATCATAATGGTGGGGATCACATGGCAGAGAAGAGATGCTCATGTCATGGCAGCCAGGAAACAGAGCAGAGAGAAAGAATCCTGCGATAAGATACATCTTTCCAGGACACATCCCTAGTGACATATTTCCTCCAGCTAGGCTTCACTTCTCAATAATGCCATCATATTATGAATCCATCAGGGATTAACCCGTTGATAGGCCAGAGCTCTCGTGATTCAGTTATTTCTCAATGATTATATACACCAGCTGGAGACTTAAGCTTTCAACACATGAGTCTTTTGGGGGATATTCATATCTAAACCATAGCATTCAAGTAATCTAATTTCTGTCTTTAAATATGTAATGAGTGGAGAAATCAGAGTTTTAAAAAAAAGGATGGTAGTAACAATGAAAACCACAGAACTAGCTATCATTTATTGAATTCTTATTCTATGCCAGGCAGTGTTAGGCTTTTTACGTAATTACTCACTTAATTTTTTTTCTAACAGCATTACTATCAGGGACTGGAACCTTGGAAAGGTTTCTTTAAGGACTCACTGGATATGAGTTCAGCTCTGATTTCAAAGCCCATGCTCTTCACTACTACTGTATTGTTTCCCTTACTCTAAGGACAGAACCAGGACCAATGTGAGAAGAGTAAAAAAAAAAAAGGTATTCTTCTAGAATAAAGAATTGTCTAAGATAATAGACCTATCTTGTTATTGAAGAGGCTTTCTTGCTAAATATTGAATTCTCTGTCACTGAATAGGAGCAAGTAGAAATAAGAACACCACTAATCAGTTAGCAAAGGGATTTCTTTTGCTAGAATGAAACATTTAATCTCTAACATCTAATCTCTTAAGTCTTTTCCTAGAGGAAAAGTAGAATTTGAATAGGATGGAAGAGGCTGGGCTACCCAAGTAGTGGAGAACCAGTGCAAGCAAAAAAAAGTGTAGAGATTGTAAGAAACTTGGTTGGGTTGGTTTGGCTAGTCAGAGGAACTGTGGTAGAGAATCACTGAACAAAAAGTTGGAGAGGAAAATGGGGCTCTGATAACCAGGATTAAATATGTGTTACATATTGAACTAGGCAAGTGTAGGTTCTTGAGCAAGAATAACAGTCATGATAAAAGTTATCTGAATTTTTCGTCATATCTAGGAGTGTCACTGGCCTTCAAAGGACTAATATTTTATTTATCTATGTTGAGAATAGACTTATATTCCTGGTGGTGAATGAGGGTTGGAGGTATCCTGATTACTGCTGTATGGTATTGTCCCAAGACAGTGGGGAATGGATAGCACAACTGCTCAAAAGTGATATAATCCAAGGTCTACGAATTCCTGGATATCTTGATCATCCACTCCTCCTCTTTTTTTCACATTCTGCTGAGTTGCTTTGTCAATGAGGCAAGGAAGAAAATGTT